GGGTATGATATGATATCAGTAATTGTTCATGCATGATTACGAGTTATAGTTTAAATTATATATTTATTGCCTCACTAAGTCATAGACTTAGCGTGTAAGTGACTTACACGTAGGTTTCAAGAAGAGTGAAGAGCAATGTGGAACAAGACATGTCAGTTCTCCTTACTGAAAGTCAGATCAGAAGAGAGGTGAATAATAGGTATTTTTATAAATAAAGTTCTAGTTGGCATATATTCAAAATATTATATTTTATAATCTCTGAATAGTTTCATAAACGTTTTGAATAAGTTATATGTTATAAAGTTTTAAATTACTCACTATTTTATACAAGTAAATGTTTTGAAAAGTTAATGTGACACCTCAGACTCGTATTCGATTTTTAATACTGGTTGGGGGTGTTACAAATATATCTCCAATGAATTGTAGTATATATGCTCGGGCAAATGTTTTTACCTCGTCCTCCGAACAATTTTCGCGCAACTCTTTAAATTCACTTTTCAGCCACCCAATTTTATTCAACCACCGTTGAAACTGGGCGAACAACTTCCAATATACTCCTTGCATAAACCCCCAATCATCATCTATCACACCACAAATGGCAGTTCCATCGAACAGCAGCCTCAGTAGCATTGAAACATCATCTAGCGTAAAGGTACACTCCTTACATGGTAGATGGAACATGTGTGTCTCTGGCCTCCATTTCTCAATTAGTACAGAAATCCGGGCGAGTTCAAGTTTACAACCTCCTTCAGGTTTTGCTTGAATCCAACCATAGACAAATATGGCCAGATACACCTCAGTGTTTCCATCTTCTTGTTGCGAATAAAAACTTATAATATACGATCATTTTCCTACCAAATAAATTTTAACCATTAAAATTTGAACTATTATTTCAAAATTATTTAAATAAATTCAAATAAATAAATTCTAAGAATCTAAATAATATATAATTGATTTCTAATATTCATAAATTTAAAAAGAATATAGTTTTGTATTCTTACCGTATTGTCAAAATGGCTCAAAATATGATCAACATCCAATCGCAACAACGCGCCTTTCATTTTTTATCTGCAATTAATAAATATTAACTAAATGAGTGACAATTAAATAGTCAAATAAAAAATAAAAAAATATATACTAAAATAAAATAATAATAATAAAATAATTAATTACTTAAATAATAAAAAAATAATGAATAAAATAATAAATTATAGAAACAATTATATCTTACTAGATTGAAAATAGATAGGGAGAAGAGATATTTAGGTATGATTTATGTGAGTTGAGAGAGGAAATTTATATAGGCAACCGGTTGGGGAAATAGACAGGAGAATTTGGCGGAAAATCGAGGTGGGAGGGGGAAGGCAGGAGATCGGGGTAGGAGGGGAAATGAGCGTCCTATGGGATTCGCCTTTTAGGGTGTTAAAAAACCTTAGTAAGGTGTGCCCCTAGGGATGCGGCTTCCAGGGGTATCAACAGTTTTATCGGGTGTCGACGGTTTTCGGCTAAGGCGCTTCCTACCAATTGCGTCTTACTCCTTAAGCGCGTTTCACCGAACGCGCCTCCTTCTTTCACGTGTTAGATCTAACAATATTTACGAAACGGTGATTGACATATAATAGTTTTTTATACGGTATTTTTTGGTCAATTTGCCTTTTTTTAATGTAATTTTATTTAGTAATAATATAAATTTACATTATTTGATTGAAAAATATAAAATAAATTTGTCTGGCTCATCTCCTATATTTTCATCTTTGTTTGATTGATGGTGAGATTATATTAACTTCTTGTATCTATGGTCTTAAAAGAATATCTAAAATATATATTTTTTATTTTATGTTCATAATTATATATATTCATTATAATCTTGAATATTTTTATAATAAACGAACACCCTGTATTTGCATTAAAAAGAGTGCACTTATTTTTATTTAGTTAAATTTCAGATCTCTGGTTAATAGGTCAATTATATGGAGTAGTATTTTGATATTTAATTATTTTTTTAATAATTTTAGATGATTACAGTGTTCATTTTTTATTTTTAACAGTATATATATATATACACCAAATAATACAATTATTCAAATTCGTAATTTTTAAATTGAATAATATTCTCATTAAGTAATGACGTTACTATATTAACTTTCTAACCATAGGACATGTGTAAAAAAGTAGGAAGCTTTTGTGGTGAGGTGAGATGACAGACAGTTAAATCAAATCCAGCTGTCATTAGAATATGAATAGAAGGGGAGCAGCCAATTCCGTGTCCGGGGAGTGGAGGCTTGACTCGGATTTGTCGTTTTTCTTACCGTGTAAGTTTCGTGGGCATCCTCTTCACCAGCTGGCCCTCTGCTGGATCACCTGAGATTCACTCTACAACCACCACGTGTATTATTATTAATATTATTTATTATAATACCACAACTTTGAATTAAAATTTTTAATAATTATCTAAATGAGAAAACTCCACATATGATCATTTAGTTACGAGTAAGTTTTAATCATTAATTTTTTTTTATTTTACTAATAGGATTATTTAATTATTTAAATGATATTAATTAAATACTATGTCATTAATATTTGAGAGTTAATATTTTTTATAATTATTTATTTGATCCTTATTACATTTATATTCTATCCATTTAATACTGGAATAAGATGATGACAAATGTCACTAATTAATTAAAGACAAATAAATTAAAAAAAATTACTCAGAGGTCTTAAACCTGAGTGCTTGGAAGAAAACAAGGAATGATCTAATCACTTGGTCAATGTATAAATGTTGTAGTTAACGACAAAAAGAAAAAGAAATAAAAGTAGTCAATTGAGTATTTTTACATTTTTCAAAGCTATTTTATGGTGGTAAAATATGTTAAATTCTTAATAAGATTATTTGAACATGATGATGTCTTCAGTAAAAAAAAAAAAGAACACTTGATGATGTGAGTTATATTTTAAATTTTAGAATAAATTTGATTTAAGTGCTTTGGGCGTAAAAGGATACAAATACTCTAATAAAGATGAGTTGTGAAAATTTGTAAGGATTCTCTCGTTATGATGAAAGAATAGAAATAGAATATCAAATTTTATGTTTTGAATGGTTCAATAATTTTAGACGATACAACTGATGTTTATTCATATCAGATAACAACACTACTGATGAAAATATTTTAATTGAATCAAACAAAAGATGATTTCATGTTCAACAAGATAACAATATGCTTGGTTCTAGGAAGTATATGAGAGTTCATTTTTCGTAGACATAACGAATTGAGAAACATGGAAGAATTAAATTCGCCATAAAAATTAATAATGCTAGAGACAGAATTTTTTTTTCCACATCGTTGTTCTACTAGAGAAATGCATAGAAAAAAAGACAAAACTTTGTAAATATTTAATAAGGTTGACTCATTATGGTTAAAGAAAATTATCATTGATAATTGATATCATGTTATATATTATTGTCAGTGATACATTTTTTAGTAAAATTGATACTTATAATGATTTTACTTATGGAAAGAATGAGTTATTTTATACATCCAAGAGCATGACTTGGAAACGTTTGACATTTGTTGCGTGCTAATACCCTTTAAATTGTTTAGTGAAAGAGGAGAACTTATTTGTCATGATGAAGATTTTGTTTTTCGATCCATATTGAAAATTTTTCATCTTATTTTGTACTTTTAAAATTCGTGTCAAGGTGGAACTTGTTCGAATTTGACCCAAATTTTTATTTTGACACAGTTATACTTATCGTATTAGGTTTTTATTAAAAGTGTGAAACCCAATTGGAGTAAAATTCATACTACACAAGTGTTCTCTATAATTAAGTAATTATACCTATAAACAGATAAAATGGATTAAAGTTATACAATAAGTTGGTTAAGTCAAGCATATTCACAATTCTTTTTTCTCGATATTATTAAAACTTTTTATCTTATTTTCGTAATATTTTTATTTTAGAGTTTTCTACGTAAAATCTTAATAACTCTTTTATTATATAATTATTATTTCCAACTTTATTTTATAACTTCGAGCCTTTAGGATGTAGCCTGATAAGATTGAATCCAAACTATAACAACGGTGACCTACAAAGGTGCCCCGTCGGTAAGCCAGCCCCGACCACATAAAAAAGAAAAAGGAAAGGTGACTAATTGTCGGGGTTGAAAGGTTTGATCAAAAAATGTTTAGGTCAGGGGTTACTCTCTCAGTTTAGGATCAGGGTATATTTAAAACCCAATTGGAATTTATTCTGAAATTTACAGATTATTCACAAAGAGAGACGATGATAGAATTCAAACTTAACCTTACAAATTCAAATTCCTGAATTTCAACCACTATTTCAACTTTCTTGGGCTCCAGTCAAAAGGTAAAAGCATTTTTCACTTCAACTATAATTGATGTAATTGATATAATTGATGCCAGATATCCCAATTCGTGTATAATATCATGTATTAAACATGTCATTTTCTATCATTCATATATAATGCACAAATCATTGCTTAGCTTTCATTCAAAAGAATCAATTTTAATAAAGAAATAAAATATCTAAATGGACACATTTAAGAAAAATGAAATCTAGAATAAATATTAAAACAAATAAAAAATGTGGATTGAGGTCCACCATTTTCCACACTGAAAGTGAAGGCTCCTCCACCAGTTGAATTTTGTTGATGAGAAGAGAGGGCCCCTGTCTTAATGCCGGCTATTTTGATCTTTTATGGAAAGGTTAGTCCATCCCGTACAAAAAGATCTTAACTAGGCTTTTCTAATGCCGCATTAGGAATTATTATAAAAGAAGCAAGAGGAGGAGACTCGTCATATTGGGAAGCAAAGCTTAAGTATCAATAACGCTCAAATATATACAAATGCATGCCAACAGACCATAATCACTCTTAAACACCCCCCAAAGATTAAGACAAAAAACAAAACAAAAGGGACAGACAAATATATATATATATATACCTTCATCATCTACTTCTCCATCAAATTCTTCGAATCTTCCTCACACACTTTTATGGGTAAGCCCAGAGGCTTTCTACGCCAGAATCCTCCGGCGAATAATAGGAGGGTGGCGAGTTTATCCTGGGAGGGGTTACCAGCATTCCTCCGGCCATATCCACCATCAAATTGGGGAAGTTCAAAAGCTCCTCCTCGTCAATATATTCCATGCAACTGCTCGACCCCTCGTTTTCAAGGTTTCCCTGGCCCTGTGACGGCCCTGTATCTGGCTTGGGCAGCCTGGAAGCGGCGGCACTAGCGGCGGCCGCACGAATATCGGTGGCGGATGTAGAGGCCACTCTGGGGTAGGAAAGAATCATGTCCGGGAAGTTCAAGTCCGTGTCGGAACCTTTCAAGGCAATAGCGGCCACGTCATACGCGGTGGCTGCCATTTCAGGGGTGGGGTACGTTCCGAGCCATATACGCGTGGTTTTACGCGGCTCCCGTATCTCGGACACCCATTTCACGCCCCTGCATCGTATTCCACGATAACTCGAATGCCGTCCGGAACCGGGAGGAGATGGAACAGGCCTCGGCGTATGCATGGCTGTTACGCCGTCGTGGATCAGTTGTTGTTGCTGAGGCAGGACAACAACGGAGAGTGGAGTCTGGGTGGCGGGTGATTGGTCTTTCGGGGGCAAATGATTGGCCATGGATGTGAGTGTTTAGAATCATGGGGGTATGTGTTAGTGTGAAGGTTGAAGGAGGTGTGGATTTATAAGGTGGGGGAGGGGGGTAGTCATATAAGGCGAGTCATATAAGGCGTGGAGAATTCGCGGAGCCCTTTGGACACTTTATTGATCTTGACAGAGATTTCCAAGCACACGTTTTGAAGCAAAACCTGAAAAAGGATTACCTGGAACTTACTCTGTTCCTCCCGTGACCTGTCTCTGTGTCGCCCTCCCAACGACCTCGTTGTCACTGTCAATAATATACGGTAATTATTAGTTAACTAATAATTTTTATCTAACATTAATTAGTTTTATCAAAATTTAAAGGTGGAAGAGTGCGAAGCCCTTTATTTAAAAAAAAAACCAAATATAGCCTATTAGAGTATAGTTGTGTGTTAGTCTGAGGTGGTTGTAACCAACTGGGCTTTGTTTTTATACGGTTATCTGTAGTGTGCCACTTCTGCTATGTGCCCTTTAGTTTATAAATACCATTTGTATGGAAAGACCATTTCATGGGTTGAATCAATAATATTTTCTTCCTTCAGAATTGTGTCTTACTCTTCTGTTTCGTCTTTACTCTTTCTTATCTCGAGTTTCCTTTGCATTTCATATTATTCTTTCATGATATATCCAGTTCGATCCGCTTTCGAATGCTTATTCTGACGACCCTATCACGGCTGATGTTGATATTGGTGAACAAAAGCTGCTTTGCTGTTTACATTAGCTTCGATCCGATGAGTTCTCCTTTTAAAATTAGGTCAATTGATTTTTCAATTGATTCTCTCTGGCAAAATCTCTTCGATTGAGCTCGCGTTCTATATATGTAGCTTTCTTGATTGTCCTTTTTTTGGTGGATCCTCTGATTTAGTGCATATTATCTTCTTCTTATCTGGTTGTGTGCTCTTTTTGATCTTTGTTGGTTTTGTTGCTTCTTCTGTTTGGTGTGATCTTCGTTATGACTAATACGGATTCTAGTAATAGTGTTACTAATTCTATTGGTAGGGGTGTTCCAAATTTTGGTTTTTCGGTTAATCGGTCAGTTCGTTTTACGTTCGGTCAGTTAACAATGAATGATTTTTTTAAAGTTCAATTATCGGTTAATTTGATTTGAAATCGATTAATTAATGGAGTTAATTGAAATTTTTAATATATTAATAGTTTTAGGAGTGTTTAAATTTTGGTATTAACCAAATTAATCAACCGAAATAACTGACCGAATTAACCGAATTAGCCAAAATATTTAATATTTAATATATATTATTTAAAATTTCAGTTAATTCAATTAACTAATCGATTAATTGAATTTAATTCGGTTCGGTTAATTATTTTTAAAAATATTCGGTTCAATTAACGGTTAAAGCTGAAAAAATCTATTAATGAAATTTTGGAAATTCGGTTCGATCGGTTAATCAAATCGACTAAACAACCTGCTAATTAAGGCTAATCTTTTTCTTTTTGAGGAAAATAAAAGGGAGGGAGAGGGATGGAATCCCATGCCTTAGTACCAACTCCTCATCATATATAACTTGCTTTCTTTAAAAGATGCAGTCCCCTCCCCCTTTTGTTGTTCTTATTTGAAGAATTATCACAATTTAAGAATAAAAGTTAATTGCAATTATTGGATTGAAGTTTGATCATTAAATATAAGCGTAAAATATATAAATGTTTCCTGATACTTTATTAAAAAATTATAAAATAGTCATTCGATTATAGTGAGTTGCTTTCTTGAGTCATTCGACTATTTAAAGTTAAAAAAATATCACCCGACTATTCATTGTATTCTAAACTCTTTATTTTTCGTTAAAATTTTGATGACAGTCTAAGTTATACGTTAACTTGCTGAATGAGATATGATAAAATAATATCTTATAGTCGGGGGACTAGTTGTGTACTTTACCTTAGTTGTGTACTTTACCTTAAATATAATTACCTAAATTAGCTGGAATTAGTTAGGGATGATCAAAATACCTGAACTCGACAAGTCCCGAACCAATCCAACCTGATAGGGGCGATTTTTATTTTGAATTTTCGGGGCTTGGGGCGAGACCGGATTTAAAGTGAAAAATACCGACCCGACCCGGTTAACATATATATATATATATATATATTAATATTTTAAGAATTTTTATTTTATATTATTAAAATATATTATTTAATTATTAAAAATATTATAAAATATATTAATTTAAAAAGTTTAAATATAATAAATAATTATAAATATATTATTCTAAAATATATTATTTTAATTATTTTTAAAATATTAATATATTCAGATTGGGTCGGGTCAAGGTTCTAATTTAAAAATCAGAAAAAAATCAAAATTCTTCGGGGCAAGGGCGGGTTTTACATTTATATTTTTAATTCGGGTCGGGGATGCCGAAAACCCGGCCCGACCCACCCCTAGAATTAGTCCATGTGTTTAATGCATTTACTCTAGACTTTTGGTTACTGGTCAATGTAACTCACGTTCATTAAACAATGAGGATTAAGCCCAATGGACTATTATGAGAGCCCAATTAAATAGTTTATATTAAAAAACAGAATGTCAGAAGTGGGATTTGAACCCACGCCCTCTCACGAGGACCAGAACTTGAGTCTGGCGCCTTAGACCACTCGGCCATCCTGACGCAGTTGTTTTTAAAAATGCTAATGGAGTTTAATTAAATTAATTTGAATCACAAAAAATAAGAGAAAATTGAAAGAAAGGGATGTTCTTGTCATGAGGAAAACTGAATATCAATTAAAATAAAAATAATATTATTTGTTATTACAATGTAACCTTCCTTGACAGCCCTATCTTTTACTGGAATTGTTTATAATTTGGGAGTCTAACATAATCCGAATTTAAGTAAAATTAAGCTTAAAACAAAACACGATTTGATGTAATCCGTGAACCAAGGACTTTGAAAGAATAAACATTCCCCAGTTTTCCAACAGCACTTTGAAAGCTAGTCCACAACATAATATGGACAAAGGTCAAAGAAGAGTGGCGACCAGTTTGAAAACGAACACCCACATTCACGGGTTTTTACTAAAACCATCTTTATTTTAATTATTTATCTAATTAGTATTCTTAATAAACTATTTACCATAATAATATTCTTTTGTCGATTGATTGTATCTTTGTCGATTTAATATATATATTTTTTAAAATCATACATAAAGTTTAATTTTTATTTCATTTTAGTACTCTCACCGTTAAAAACTTAAAGGACATGCTCGTCGGCCGATGAAATCCAAACTTTTCAACCTATAAATTTTAGATCCTCTGAACGTGATTCCGACCTCTGTTTCACTGGAAAAATGCCTCAACGTCCCCAAATCGACGATTGATTTTTTGACTTCTTCATCTTTCGATCTTTGTCGTCAACCTTTTGATGGATCTGAAACTAGATTATATTGATCAACTCATCATTCTCTTGTGGTCTACCTTTCATATTGGTTGTCTGCCCATCGTAATTATGTCTCGTTAGCCCGTTCGTTAAGTTTTTAATGGTGATGTACTAAAATGAAACAAAAACTAAATGTTAAACATGATTATGAAAAAAATTAAAAATTTAAGTGCTAAATAGAACCAAAACTAATAGTGTAAGTACCAGGGATGTACCTGGGGGGAGTGTGTGAGGGTGATCACCCCCTAAAAATCTAAAAGTACAATATATTTTAGATTTTTTCTATATATTTTATATTAAAAATATATTTTCATCCTCAAAAATTTTATAAATTCAAATTCGTCCGTTAAAATTTATAAGCTCAGATTCACTCCAAACTTAAAATCTTGATTCTGTCACTTATAGGTACCAAAATCGCGTAGTTTATTCTATTTTAAAATGGTATAGTATATTAAAAAATTAATATAAAAAATGTAAGTAATCATCCACGTAGGCTCCGTGTTGGTTTGGTAATTCAAGCGTGTCCGCATATAAAAATAAATGGCAACCACCGTGACAGCCTAACACAATGGTGACATCTGGCTTTCTGCTAATCCTCTTTTGGGTTTTGCTTATCCTTCTGCTAATCCTCTCTGTTCCCTTCATCATATTCCCCCCCCCCCTTTTTAATGTCTTGTCATCTTTGTAATAATTCTGTTGGGTTTGCCATTTCTATATAATATGCATTCATAATTTAATTCCTCAAGGCACGAGTTTGTCATCCTATTTAATAAATACATTCTTTACTTAATTAATTCTATAAATAATACTCCTACATTGATTACTTTTGTTTTTACACATATTATCTTAATTGTACTACTACACATTGATTAATATCATGTGTATCATAATGAATGGAGTCGAATTTTTATCCCATTCAAATTTGATTTGAAAATTAATTTTTTTATCTGACATGAGTTTATCTTAGGCTATTTTCCCGGTATATCACGGGTGATCGATATTATTATCGATCTAACATCGGTCAGATTATATTTCTCGATCTAACACCCTTAGTAGAAAAGTACGCCCATGCACCGCGCTATATGCTGATTTGGCGTCACGTGAGTATAACACGCCCCCTGCCCGCGATATACGGTGATCTGGCGCCACGGGATATAGCGCGCCCCCTGATCCGCGCTATACCTGGATATCTGACACGTGGGGTATAGCGCGGTGCAGGGTGCACGCTATACCCCTAATTACCAACCCTTCACGTCCTTATCCTCCCTATAAATACCGCCATCCTCAATCACTTTTATCACACCAAATTCTTTCAAATTCTCTAAATTTCTCTCAAATACTCTCTTTTAAGGTATATTTTATAATATTTTTACTATTATGTTTTTACTTCATTTAATATTTTACAAATATAATTCTTTTGCAGATATATAATAGAAGGCAGTCTACTTCGCTCGGATGTAAATCATATATATCTACACTTTACTGATACGGTAACATTTTAACGTTTTAATTTAATTTAAATTATTAGTAATATTTAGTTGATTTATTTAATGCATGATTATTAGATTAAGAATTAAATATCTCGACACTTTGATGATACGATAACATTTTAACGTTTTAATTTAATT